TGATAAATTTGTGCTCAGTCATTTCTGTTATTGCACATATTTTCCCCTTTTTGACAAATGAGAAAACGTACTATATATGCAAAATCATTTGGCAAAGTGAAGTTATTTATTTTAAAAAAAGAATGAAGTTCTTCTTAATGTAGCAGCATTTTTCTTTTATTGAATTATAACATTCATATTTTAGTTAATTTATATGACAAATAAATTTGTTGATGGTGGACATGAACCTCTACAGGAAGCAGGAAGTTAACATTTTTTTTTTACAGTAGGGGTTCCTACACTGCTTTAAGGTTCTTTGTATGTTTTTGTTTGGTGGTGGAGTCTTCTTTTTCCTCCTAGAAGTAAAGAAGTTACATCATAATTTATGGTATTTGTTTATTTATTTATTAATTTTTGGTGAATGACAGTGCTAATAATCACTTATAGCAAATAGAATGTCAAAAGTCTTATCATTGTTAACTTTGGCCAAATTTTAACACAAGCAGAAAAGGAAACACTTTTTGTAAATAATTTCTTACTATACCTTTAGCAGCATGAGCATTAACCCTTATCCAGCTTTCCTTTCTACAATGTCTGTTATCCTACATAGTCTCCCAGCAGCTCCAGACTGTTCATCACAGGAGAGTTATTAGGACAGATGGCTAAGGTGATAGCCTCTCCACCTGCAGATGCTAATTCTGGACTTGCGCTCTTTTATTCGGTTTGCAAGAGATTTGAGTTAGGAGAGGGTATTTTTGTTTGTTTTGTTTTTTAGTCTTCTCAAAAAAGGATTCCAAGATTATGTTTATTTTACAATGTATATCTCTATTATTGACCAGTATTATTTAATAGTTTGAATAGTTGTTGAACTCTACTAATCAGTTTTCACTGTACTTTCAAGGTATATGATGCTAATGTGCTCATCTTCTAGATCAATGAAGTAAAGCACTAAGAAGTTCAGACACTTGTTTAAAATCTCACAACTAGTAGTTTTCCTTGAACTTATTTTCCCCCCAACATTTGTTTATGGCATAAATACAGAGGAGTATTTTCCTTCCAGTTTCCAAATATTGAAATAGTAGAAAATGAGTTAGTTCTGTGGAAATAAACACCTTTAAAATACTCATATAAGAATGTCACATTTCTGACTTTGGAACACAGCTTTTATTCTAATATCTATATTTGTGTTAAATTAGAAAGAGCTTATGACCCATATTTTCTTTTTTGGTAATTTTTAAAAATTGTCTTTATTATTGAAAGTATTACAGATGTCCTCTGTGGGTTTTTGTTGTTGTTGTTTTTCCCATTGACCCCCAACTCATATTTTCCTTCTTTTTTTTTTTTTTTTTTTGCTGATTTGAGAGAAAGATATCAGTTTGTTGTTCCACTTATTTATGCATTCATTGGTTGATTCTTATATCTTCCCTGACTGGGCATTAAACTACAACCCTGGCACACCAACCAACCAAGCCACCTTTATGTAATAATGTATCAAGATCAAATTCTTGTAATATTAAACTTCTGTTAGCCAAATTTTGTGCTATTTTATAGTAAAACTCTTTTGAGTCTAGGAGAATGTTAAAACTTTTAGGATATTTTACAGATTATTGGTAAATGGTGCTTATAATACACATTAACACAAAGAATGCTTTACTATCCTAGTTAAAAAGAATAGTAGCCCTAACTGGTTTGGCTCAGTGGATAGAGCGTCAGCCTGCGGACTGAAGGGTCCCAGGTTCGATTCCGGTCAAGGGCATGTACCTTGGTTGCGGGCACATCCCCAGTAGGAGGTGTGCAGGAGGCAGCTGATTGAGGTTTCTCTCTCATCGATGTTTCTAACTCTCTATCCCTCTCCCTTCCTCTCTGTAAAAAATCAATAAAATATATTTTAAAAATAAAAAATAAATAAAAATAAAAAGAATAGTAAACTGTTATCAAACTGAAACTAACCTTCAAGTTGAGGTTTGGGTGACCATAAAGGATAAATCATTCAATAGTCATCATATGTTTATCTTATTCCAAACTTAGAACATAGAATTAAAATTATTCATGTAATGAAAAGCCAGAAAGGCATTTGTATAATCACCAATTAAGTCTGCTTTTGAGCAGAGTTGTAGTCATTCGTTGAAATTTTGTGGTATTTTAAAAATTAAAATATATTCACTCGAATGGAAAACTTTCATACCAAGAGAATGAATTAGTAAGCATAGTATAATTTTACAACAGTGAAAATGAATAACTACAGCTACCTGCATCAACATGGGTGAATCTTAGAAACATATGTTGGGTGAAAAAAAGCTAAAGAACATTGTAGTGTGATACCACTTATAAAGAGTTCAAAAAGCAAACTAGATACAAATATGTAAAGGAACAAGGGAATGAAGAATATAAAAATCACGTCAGTAGTTATTTGGGGGTGAGCGTGGAAAGAGTAAAGGATGAATCAGAAACCAAAAGAGTTCCAATGACATTGCTACTGTTCTGTTTACAAAGTTAGGTGGCAGTGTCACAGGTATTCATTCATTATTATGCCGTATGCCTTCTATGTACATTGCTTCTACTGTCTGGTATGTATCAGATAATTTCTAATTCAGAAATTTGTTGTAAATATCTCCACACTTTTCCTGTTCTTATTAAAGTTTAAGGCTTTCTCTTTCAGCACAATTATTTTTTCATCCTGATGAATTTTGATGCTACAATTGAAGCTTTCTTATAAAATCTTTAAACATAAAAGTAATTGTATATTAAACTAACCAAAATAAGAAACATTTGTATGTTAAGAATTCCTAAAATCAGCACTTGTAGTAGTTTAGCTTTACAATTCATTTATATTCTTCTAACCATGTAAAGCTTATAGATGCATATTAGTCAGCAGCATGGACTTGAAATAAACAAAAAATGAAAATAAACAATAAAAGTAATAGAAACAGACTAACCCCTCCTGGCTGGTAGAGACCCACTTTGAATCAAGCTTTATGTTTTGTTTCAGCTTTCTTTTTTCATTTAAATGACAACAACCACCATTCTTTTTTCTGGGGTATGTTAACTCCAAATTCCAAGTGAACCAATCTGTTTTCTGAAGTATTTGCAGGAAAGTGGTACAGTTTTTCCTAGCTCAGACTACATACCTCTTTCAGTTCTAATACCCATCTGGTGGTCATCTTGCCAGTTTCAATTTGAAAGAATCTTACACTAGTAAAATAATACACTGTGTAGAAAACTCAGATTTTCAAGTTGTCCTACCTATAAAACAGACCTTCCATCTGGTAGACCTAGTACTGTCTTACTAGTAGTTCCAGGAGTTCCCTTTCAAGGGACTGATTCTATTAGAGCAGTTTCCTTTTGCTCTCCCAGGCATCCACCATGGAGATCTTTCTCCAGATTAGCCTCCAGAGTGAGAAGAACAAGGTGCACTCTAACATATTCTGAAGGTCTGCTATGCTGCCTATTGAAACCTTCCTCCTTCTTCCTACTCTGTTTATTTTCTGTTTCTGTTAAGGACTGCATTTCTCACTCAACAGGGCTCAAACCTTGAAATTGTGTTTGAATTCTTCCTACGCTCTTACACCTAATCATTTATCAGATTCTATTCATTCCATATTCAAAATATCATCTGCTTCTACTGCTTCCTATTCATTACCACTATTTTATATCAGACCTTTATTGTCACTTACCTGCATCATTTCAGTAATCCCTAACTTACCACTTCTCCATTACTCTCTGTTACTTCCCATCCATCATATATGTTCCTGCCAAAATAATTTTGCGAACGGGTACCCTGGTTATTTTTCTCCCTTATCTAAAAATCTTCACTAAGTCCAAACTACCAGTAGAATAAAGATTATTTCGTTTTTCTGGAATTCAAAACTTTTGGGATCTAGATACAACCTTAGTAAACTTACTTTCTACTATTCTTCATCTTGCACCCTTCTTTGCAGACAAATTAGTCCCACACACTTCCTAGGTTCGCTTCCATCTGTTTGTCATCTGTTCTGTACTTCATCATTCCCAATAGCCAGAAATCCGAAATGCTGCATAATTAATTAGTTGAGTCTTCCCCAGACCTTTGACATTTCTCCTTTGAACTACTGTAGCACTTCATTGTCTTATGGTACTATTCACTTCTTATTTTTTACTTATTCCAGTAGCTCTTTCAGCCTTTATCATGTATTATGCATGGTATATGCTTAGTTAATAGGTATAGAAAGAAATAATCCGATCTGACAGCAGTCCAGTCAAGTAGTCAGGGCAAGTAACATTAGCCCCTTTTGAAAGGTCAAGAAACAGGCTCTCAAAGAGGTTAAGAGATTGCCTAAGGCCTGTGGCTCTGTAGTGCCAGACCACCAGCTGATACACCATTTTTCTGATTCCACAGCCAATATGTATTTCACTGTACCACCCTGCCTCTCAAGGTGGCTAGCATCAAGCAAGCAAAATAGAAGACATAAATAGTATATGAATTCTGTCCAAGTTGGAGGATTGCATTTTCAAAATCCAAGAATTAAACTTTGTTATAAAAGGCCTAAAAAATGTATGCATTTTTATCATTTATGAGGTTAGTAGTCATATAATAACCACTATCTTGATTTTTAGAAGTGTTTATGTATGTTTTTGTGTGCATGTGTATGTATGTTTGTGTGTATGTGTACGTGTACATGTACACAAGAGGAAGAGGAAAAGAGAGAAGCAGCATTTACTCAGGTTAGGAAAGAATTAATAAAAGGGAGCAGATGACAAACAGGAAATACTTAGCAAACACCAGAGTCCAAAAGTAGGGCCAAACGACTTGAAAAGAAAACAACTCTATCAGCTATCACTGATTTCCACTCTTCAAAGAATGACCGCATGCAAGTTTGGAAGATCCTTGAAAATGCAATCACTTTACTCTCTAAACAGTCAAAAATTTTTCTTCAAATCATGTTTATTTTTGCCTAGAAATCATTACTTTTATTTGTTACAGGTTTTGGGTTTGTTTTTTTTAATAATCCACTAACACTTTTTTTTTTCTCTTCCTTTACCAGAAGAAGAAGAAGAGCAGGTGCCCACTGATGGGGGAACATCAGCAGAAGCCATGCAAGTTCCCTTGGAAGAAGACGATGAACTGGAGGAGGAGGAAATTATTAATGATGAGAATTTCTTGGGTAAGAGGCCGTTAGATGGCCCTGAAGTTGAAGAAATGCCTGCCACGAAGCGACCACGACAAATAAGCGCTAAAGGAGACACCCTGGATGTAGCATTATTGGAAGCTCGAGAACCACTCAGCTCAACCCATACCCAAAAAAATTCCACCGATGCTTTCTCCAGTCCCTGTACAGGACAGCGCAGACCTCGCTCCTTCACGCCAGAGCCACCCATGTGAGTTCCAGTTGCAAAATCACAAATGCCAACCACAAAACCCTTAGAAACAAAGTCATATACACCCAAAACAAAGACTAAAACTAGTTCTCCAGGACAGAAGACTAAATCACCTAAAATGACTCAGTCACCAGCAATGGTCGGAAGTCCTATTAGGTCACCAAAAACTGTACCCAAAGAAAAGAAATCTCCTGGACGTTCTAAGAGCCCCAAAAGCCCCAAGAGTCCTAAGGTTATAACCAATATTCCCCAAGCACCAGTCAGACCTGAAACACCAAATAGGACTCCTTCAGCTACAATATGTGAAAAAATTAGTAAAGAGACCCTTCAGGTAAAACAAATACAAACACCCCCTGAGGCTGGGAAGCTGAACAATGAGAATCTGCCAAGAAAAGCTGTTGTGATCGACAAAACAATTGATGACTCTATTGATGCTGTGATTGCACGAGCTTGTGCTGAACGAGAGCCAGATCCTTTTGAGTTTTCTTCTGGATCAGAATCAGAAGGAGACATTTTTACCAGCCCTAAGCGAATTTCAAGTTCAGAATGTACAACTCCAAAAGCTTCAACTTCCTTGAATAATTTCACTAAGTTAGGGTCCACTCCTCTGCCTCTTTCAGGTGGAACATCAAGTTCTGATAATTCCTGGACAATGGATGCCTCCATCGATGAAGTTGTACGGAAAGCAAAAATGGGAACAGCTTCCAATGTGCCCCCCAGCTTTCCTTACCTCTCCTCTCCCTCAGTCTCTCCTCCCACACCCGAACCTCTGCACAAGCTGTATGAGGAGAAAACCAAATTGCCTTCCTCAGTGGACATCAAAAAGAAGTTGAAAAAGGAACTGAGGACGAAAATGAAAAAGAAAGAGAAGCAGAGAGATAGGGAACGGGAAAGAGACAAAAGCAAGGACAAGAGTAAAGAGAAGGATAAAGTTAAAGACAAAGAGAAAGAAAAGGAGGCAAATAAGGAAGCCAAGTATCCATGGAAGGAATTCCTGAAAGATGAAGAATCAGATCCCTATAAGTTTAAAATAAAAGAATTTGAAGAGGTTGATTCCAAAGTGAGATTGAAAGATGGACTTGTGAGAAAGGAGAAAGAAAAGCATAAAGATAAGAAGAAAGATAGAGAAAAGGGCAAAAAAGATAAAGATAAGCGAGACAAAGACAAAGTTAAAGATAAAGGTCGTGAAGAGAAAGTGAAAGTGGCACCAGCCCCCCTGGTACTGCCGCCCAAGGACATGGCTCTGCCCTTGTTCAGCCCCACGGGGGCCGTGAGGATCCCAGCCATGCTGCCCTCTTTGTCACCCATGCTTCCTGAAAAATTGTTTGAAGAAAAAGAGAAGCCTAAGGAGAAAGAAAGAAAAAGGGACAAAAAGGAGAAGAAGAAAAAGAAAGAGAAAGAGAAGGAAAAGGAGAAGAAAGAGAAGGAAAGGGAAAAAGAGAAGAGAGAGAGAGAGAAGAGAGAAAAAGAAAAGGAGAAACACAAGCATGAAAAAGTAAGCTGTTTCTCATTTTCAGCACTATCTGAACAAAGTCATATTGAAAAATACAGGTAAACAAAGCCAGCCATTTTATCTGTAATTTGGATGCAAATCACCCATAACTTAACTGGAAATATGTTTGTAATGGGGTTACAAAATTTATGTTTAATTTTAAAACCCATAAACTTGTAATCAAGCTCCCTGTGCACTGGAAAGTGTTAAAAATTCATAGCCTAAAAGGACTCTAATTACAGAGTATAAACTCTATTAAGTGTACTATTCTCTGTCCATTTTTAAGAAAAATCGGTAATCTTAAACTGTGAATAATATTTTTGTAATTATCAAGGCTACTACATACTATTTTGTACCCAAATATTAGGTACCAAAAAAAAAAACAACAACCCAGCATTCGTTTTTCTAAGAGCATGAGAAACTATGGCACTATTTTAAGAGGATAGCAAGGCCCGAGGAGTCCTTTCTTACTCACTAATTTTCTTTTTCATGAGCCATTTTTGTAAGTATTTAAGGTTATGGCTGCCCACTACTTTCTGTAAAATCTATTATCCTTCTATTTTCTGCTTTAATACGATTAGGGCATGTTTCTTAGTATCAAGGCTATCTAGCAGCCTGGATGGTGGGCAGAAAATAATTCCAAATATTTTATGATGTAAGTAAAGCAGGCTTTCATAGAGTATAGCCAAAGAAACTGATATACAACCTGTAGTTTTGTAGAAACTAGGACCTCAATTCTTTAGGCTCAGAATATGACCTGTAATGGCTTTGACTTTCAGCCCATGGTTGTTTGGATTATAGTAGTTGGTTGATTTAAAAAAAAAAAATTTTAACTTTCTTAAAAAGTATTCAAGTATTCATGGTACCAGATCCTTGGAGATCTTTTCCCTGCCTTCTGGAAGCAATCCTTCTTGAGGTTGACTACAAAATAATACACAGTTGTTTTTTTTCCATATAATAAATATGATGTATTTGACCTACAGCAGATCTATTACTAACACTTTTGCAATATTTTAAATTTCAAACTTACCTAGGAAAATTAGTTTAGCTAACATGAAGTAGGAACTCTCACATTTTTCTGCCTAACTTTATTCTTTCTCTAATAAATAGTCCTTCGCTATTATCTATATATATAAAAGGCTAAGCGACTGTCCAACCGGTAGCTATAATGCACAATGACCACCAGGGGGCAGACGCTCAACACAGGAGCTGCCAAGCTGCAGTGACTTGGCAGCGGTGGTTCTCGAGTGACACACCCTGGAACCAGCCAGGAGGGAGCCCGATTCCATGGTGCATCACCATAGAACCGCCCTCTCACAATCCAGGACCCCTCAGGGGATGTCAGAGAGCCAGTTTCGGCCCGATCCCCGCAAGCCAGGCAAAGGGACCCCACCTCCCGGAGGGACCTCGAAGGGCATCACTCCACAGATGCCCTTCAAGCTACAGCACCACCCCAGGTGCAGCTGGCCGGCGGGGGGGAGGGGAGGTACCCTGGGAGGTTGACTCCAGGGCCCATCATGCCCAGTCCCTCCCCGCCGGCCACTTTCTAATTAATTTTCTTTCAGTGTGCACGAATCTGTGCTCTGGGGCACTAGTAAAATACAAAGAAATAGAATGGACATTTGATAATAATTGAACATTGGCAAATTAATAAAGCACAGAAATTCTACTTTAATTTCCATTTTAAAAATCACTTTATCATCATGTTATTTTATGTAGTACCTGGCACTTCCACATACCTCTTTTCTTCTAACACACCTCTGACATAGGTTCAGCAGGTATTGCTATCAAACATTTACCAGTGAGAAGCTGAGAGAGTGACTTGCCCAAGTCACAGTCACACAACCATCAAGAGCCAGGTTATGTACCAGGTACATGCAAATATACCTCACCTTTCCGAATATTTACTAGTGGAGATCTTGCCTGGCAGCAATTAGTCACTTACCATCATATACCTAGTAACTTGGCACCTGAGCCCCCAGCAAATCAAATAGGATACTGTTGCTTTCCTTGCCATCTTAACTTTGGAAAGTCAATGGAGTTGTTTCAATGGCCATCACCATCTTAACTTTGAAAAGTCAGTGAAGTTGTTTCAACACAATTTGAGTACAGCCCATCAGATTAGGTTTGTAGCAGTAGTCTGTGCCTTTCCTCAGCATCTGCCTGACTTTAGAAAGGGAAAGTCCCTCAGACAGCCTCGGTTGGAAGCAAAGGCTCAGTTACGAGTTGCACAGATTTCACCTAACAGAAGCCTACAAATCCTTTTGTCAGTTTTGATGGATATGGATCAGATAAGTGCCAAATATAAGAAATTATAAAGTCAGCTATCTTATGGTCTTTAAAAATAATAAACAGTATTGTCTCTAGAGTTAAACCTGAATTGAAATTCTGACTTTTTAGTTGAGTGAAATTAGACAAGTTGCTTTTGTGAGGATTAAATGAAATAACATCTGAGATGTGCTTAGTGTTCTGTCTGGCACATAAGTGCTCAGTAAATGGGACATGAAAGTAATAGTGGCGGTGAGTGTTATTATTCCATTCTGAATCAATCACAGAAAGGTAGAAATATAGAGTTTGGCACTCATTGGACTGTATGAGCTATGGTTATAATATTTATTCTGCTTTCTAGGCATGTTTTTTTTTAATTTTAGCTCTTTATACAGATAGTAAAGGATAAAAGCTATTACAGCCCACGGAAATGCCATTGACAACGAGAAGAAATTGAGATATTAACTTAAACATTGACTTCTTTTTGAACTTCATTTAATTCCCCCACAAGTCATATGAGTTAATACAACTCAAGCCATATGACTTAATGAAAGTAGACCTGAAATTGGGTTACATATAGTCTAAGAAATCTCTTATATATCCATAAAAGAAAGACAACAAAGGTAAATAAAAATGAAGGATATCTAAGCTGCCCCAGGAAATGTCTTCTGTCAAAAGTATGAGGGACAATAATCTCATTTCTTCCTTCTCATCCCAACCAACTCACAGAAGCAACTCTCACATTGACCCAGAGCCGCAAGCAAGAGCATTGTTTTAATAAAGAAAATGATCTTTAATATGGTTATTTTACCTACCTGTAAAGTTTTTATCATCCATACCCATGTGGTTATCAATATAAAAGCAATAAAGATACCATTAATTAAACGGGGATCTGCATGGTAGGTAGAAGGAACCGTGGGCTTTGGAATCCAGCAGATCTGAGAAAAGAGCCAGGATAAGTTTCTTAGTTTCTTTAATCCTTAGGTGCTTCATCTTTAAAGTAGGGATATGATAATCACATTTTTTAAAAAACAGCAATAGTTATAATTTATGAGTAATTATATGCTAAACACTATGTATGTTTAATTCCTTAACACAACTCTGTAAGGTAGTTACTATAATTATCACTTTAAGATGAGAAACAGAGTCCTGGACAGGTAGCTCAGTTGGTTAGAACATCATCCCCATATGCCAAGGTTGCATTCCCATATACCATCAGGGCACATACAAGAAGCAACCAATGAATGCATAAATAAGTGGAACAATGGGTCATTGGCTCTCTTCTCCCCCCGCCCCTCTTTTCTTCTCTGTCTAAAATCAATAAAAAAAAAAAAACAAAGAAAAATTTTAAGATGAAAAATGGAGACTTAGAGAGATTAGTAAACCTGCCCAAGATCACACATATAGAAAGTGATTTAAGAGGAGCCACAATTTCAACCCAGGCCATCAGGTGCTATAATTGATGTTCTTAACCACTGTACTCTAATTGAATTACAAATGGATTAAGTGAAATAATATATGCAAGGCACCTGGCTCAGTGACGCACTATCAGAAAAATAGTTTTTCTAACAGTGGTAATAATACAAAGTATGGTGATTTATGTACAATCTTTCAGTTCCCCTTTATAGGCAGTAATATGCATTAGTCAAGGTTGGGAGTGCAGTCTTTCACCTTTTTACAATAGATTCAAACTGACTTTTTATGGAAAACATTTAAAGAGCAGTGATGTTGAGCAGTCACAAACCTAGCCACAATGGCTTTAGCAGTGATAAACCTAACAGTACATTTCAGAGCAGTTTAAAAATCTTGTTTCAATTTGTGTCGGTGTATGTATTGCATAAGTATTTTTTTTAAGGGGGATCATTGTGAAAAAATAAAATGGCTTATTTTTTATATTAGTGGAATTAAATAGTTGTATATTTCACCTTATAATCCAAAATTTGTCAAGCTTGTAAATATATTTTATGCTCTTATTTGAATACTAGAGACCCAATGCACGAAATTCGTGCAAGGGGCTCAGCCCTCGCAGCCATGTCGGCTTACTTCAGCCCCAACTTCGTCCGGAAGGTCATTCCGCTGTTCGGACTAATTAGCATATTACACTTTTATTATTATAGATGGTCTAAAAAGTCACCGTAGAGTTTCACCACCCCCCAAAATGATGTCATAGTCTGTAAGTAAATAGGCCCAGTGCTAGCCCACAAAGAGCATGGGCTTCAGAGCAGGCTGACTTGTGGATACCACTCACTAGTTAGTCACCAATTTCTTCTAACCTCTCTGATCCTCTGCTTCCTTCTCTCCATCTCCTTCCTCCTGTTCAATACTGGGAAAAGACAGCAGCATCATAAAGTATGGTTTACCTCTGCTTAAAAACAATAGTTTCATACCTTCTCTAAGCATATTTTGGCTTGAAAGGCCTCTTCTCTGCCTTCTCATAGAAAACAAGACTAATTTGTGTCACTTAAGATGAGTAAGTAGATGACTGTGACAATTCAGAATGTTCTTACAACTAACCAATAATGTTGATAATCAACCCACAGGTAATTGAATTTGCTTATAATGGAAAGCTCATCAGTTCTCCAAAAATTTTAAAGGATTCTCCAAAATTTTTATCCTATCAATTAATAAATTGTATGTTTTTTGGTTTGGGGGCTTTTTGTTTTTTTGAGCTAACATCAGCTATTGAATGAACTAACACAGCTAGTAAATGCCACTAGCAGCTGCTACTTTACTGA